CATATGCTCTGGCAGGGCAACCTACTATGTATACAGAGCAAAACCTATACTAACTTGGGTACTTGAGAGACCGCCTCCTGCCAATTGCCTCCCATAGACCCATCAGATCAGGACTCCTCCGAATTCCATCTGCCGGCCAATGTTGGCTGGCAACTACTCAGAAGAGGGCCTTCTCTGTGGCTGCTCCGACCCTGTGGAATGAACTCCCCGTGGAGATTCGTACCCTCACCACCCTCCAGGCCTTCCGCATAGCCCTTAAAACCTGGCTGTTCCGACAGGCCTGGGGCTAAAGACTTGCAGCCCCACTTCGAATGGTATGATTGTTGTGTTTTTTAACTGTGTATGGTCTTTATATTTTGTAACTTTGTTTGTTTCCCCCTCCCTTGAATTGTGAGCCGCCCTGAGTCCCTTTCAGGGAAAAGGGCGGCATACAAATAAAGTAAATTCAATTCAATTCAATTCAATTCACCCAGGACCCCTCAATATTAATATTCCAACATTGGGATTTCTCACTCTTGGAAGGAACCAGTTGGAAGAGAATAGTTCAATATTAGATTCTCCCCCTCTAACACCATGTCTTTTGCAATGCTTATATTAAAAATGGTTGCTGTTATTCAATTTCTAGACAACTTTCTTAAAGCAACTTTTAAGTACAATCTAAAATATATTTGCAAATATATGATAAGAAGAAGCTCGTTTAAGTTATGCGTTAAGCATTTTTTTTAAATCCTCTGGAAAAAATAAGACCAAAATGGAATTTATTGTCTATTAAAAATATAATTATAGTGATACAATCAACTATTCAACACATTTCAGGGGCAAATGTGACCGACCTTTGGTCAATCAGCTACTGACCATGGAATGAATGAAAGTGTCTTGTAGAGATAAAATACTGGCTGGTTGCAATTCTTGGTATTTAAACTGAGTTCTCTAATCAAATGAAAAAGCCGTCGTTTCTTTTTTCAGGTTCCAGGATCCATGGTAACGTTTGGCCTTTTACATTCATAATGTTAGCCTTTTTGTTTGCATCCAAGTAGAGACACCTGGAGTAACGTTAACATTTACCAATTTTGCATTAATAACTACATAATATAAGAATCTCTGATGCAGTAACTGTTACTTTTGTTGTTGCTACAGCTTTATATTGTTTTCACTTTTATCTTCCTGTTTGGTAACCATGCAATGATTGACAAACTTTTTTGTCTGTTTAATTAACCAATATAATTATTGGGAACTATGATTCAAGTCTTTTGCTCGACAAAGCCTCTGAGAGAAAACAATAGTAGGTCTTTTAGTATGAATGCATACCACCCATCACAGATGCATTAAGATACTCTAAACAATGAGGGGGAAAGCTGCCTGTAAAAGCAGACAAAGAATGCCATAGACTCAATACAGTGTGCCTACCACCAGGGAAACACTGAGAGGTCCCTGGGACACAGATGCCTCGTTATATTGAAGCCAGTCATCAGAGATTAATGCTCAGCCATTTGGTACAATAATTCTCTCATTCACAAGCTTTTAAACTATGTTGCTTACTATCAAAGATAGGTCTCTGAACTAAAATGCTTTGTTTAAACTGAACTGTATTTTAATTGAGTTGTAGCACTACTTGGTTTGCTCAATAATTACCAACTAAGCAAAAATGTAAATGAAGATAATATTGCTTTACAATCACAAGAATTTTGAAAATCTATAGGACACTCTCATATTTTTCATATATGTTTTAATGGACTACAGTATAAGTTTATTAAACGTGGTCCATTTTATCTGATGGATTGTCAAACTGAAATCTCATAGTTATTTTAATTACTGTGACTTCATCCCTAGAATTTAGAGGGCAGTTTCGACACCAAACTGCTTGTAATCTGCTCGTAACCTTCAGGTGGTTTGTCACCACAGGTTTTCGGTTCCGCTTTTCATATAATACATATACTACATATACTACATATAATACATTCACATATGTAAATAGAAATAATATGTTGAAGAAAACTCAAATATCTGTACATTTTATTGGCTGCTAGAAGCACTGCTTTTGAAATCCTGAAATATCCTAGCCCATTAAATCCATTACCAATAGCATCCAAAAAGTTATTTTCACATATTATGAATAACACCTCCCCCCCGCCGCAAAAAAAAGATTTATCTCATGTCATTTTGAGAATGGAAACATTCTGCAAAAAAAATATTTTAATATATGCCATACAATAAAATTGTTTTAGTTTGAAAAGCAGCAAAGGAAAAACCATCTCAAATTCCTCTCAAATATATTTTGGAACATATGTGGAACATTTTAGAAAATTTAAGGAAGGAAGGGGATATTACAGGAAACTCGATTTTTACATTTTTCTCATTGATCTAGCACACATGTTGAAAGTTGAAAATGATTATTAAGAGATGTAGTTTCATCTAAATTCAGAATTCATGTTTTCATATTTAATGGGCTATGTAGTTACCATAATATATAATTATATTCGTTCTTTTTGACATAATGATTTTGTTTTAAAACTAGTACATAGAGGCAACTCTGTTGAGACTCTTAAAGATTTTTTTTTAATGCTGTAAATATTGGTTGATTTATGTAATAGCAGTCAAGTTTAACAAAGATTTCCACCAAAAATACAGAAATTAAACTTTTACATAGTATGTGTGCACATAGGTGTTACACTTTTGCTGCTAAAAACTCAAATATAATACAAATTCTTCCTTAGGAATTTCTTTCACTTCTTTAATGCTTTATATTCATGTTGTTTGTTTATTGACAGGTCCCATTTTTTGGCCCTCTGTTTAATGGAGCAATTGTGACTGGAAAACTGTTGCCAAATCTTATACGGGCCACATGTGTCAATGCCAGCAGAGCTGTGAAATCTCTTATAACTCTCTATCAGAGCTTGTATCCTTTTTCACTTGTTTCTATATCAGGATGGAAAAATTCATCTATCTTTGGAGTACATGTGCTGAAAAACATGGTATATCTCAACCTCTTTAATAACAGCATTTTTAGATTCATTCAAGTTTAAACCTACTGATACATTTAATGCATAAAGGATGAAGAATGCAAAAACATAGCTGAATTCAAGATTACAAGGTTTCCTCAAAACTGGTAAGCTGATATTGAAGAAAAATATGTAGGTGATATGTGGAAGGGAAAGAAATCTGGCAAAATTCTCAATGCAAATTTGTGTGTGAATCACTTTTGGTAACAATGTAACAGTGTCACTGTTTATTGTTTGTATATTTGACATACATATAGTCTCAGGTTAGGAATCAAAAGGCTCTGAACATCATTGAGAGTTTTTCAGTTTAATATATTCCTGTTTGCATCCCCTAATAATAACTGAGAGTGACCCAGAATCTGGCATGGGCCTCTGAAAATCAGATAGCAAACCAAAGGCTTCAACACTAGTTTGTTCTGATACTTGTAAAACAAAATTATTTCATTTTCCTTCCCTCCTTCACTAGAAGGAGAGAAAATGTGTGCAGGAGTTTGGACACACAAACTTTCACTTCAAGGAAGTCATTGCTTGGAAGCTTAGCTATTATTGCAGGGAATTTTCATATTTCATATTTGATTAATATATTAATCAAAACTTTTTCTAAATAATCATGTCATGATAGTATTCAATTGATTGTTTAAACATTGAAATACGTTATCATAAATACAAAGAACCCCACCCCCCAAAAACCAAATGGAAGTAATTCCGGACATTTTTTGGTTTAGAGTTTTGCTCAAACAGGAGAATAAGGATTCTTAGCCTAATTTCCTCCAATTCAATGAGCACATTGTGGATCTATAAAACCTGATACCTTATCTTGTGAAAAGCCATCATCTTGATGACTTGATGTCTTCTTCCCTATCAGAAAAAATAACATATCACTGCTCTCTTCAAATCCAGTTATAATCATGCAGGAGCTACATTGATGTTTGTATTTGTTTATCATAGATCACAAGTGATGATGATTACAGCGGAACGCCAAAATCTTTTAAATAATGAACTTTCCTCTGAAACAAAATGATCCAGATGTTTGGCTATAAGTTGTTAACGGTAGCCAGATCAGAAAACACGACTCCATAAGGATGAGTGGAACATCATCAATATATAATTTTGAAAGCCTAACAGTATATGAAAGTCTAACTCTCTACTTCTTATGCTCAAGAAAGTTAAGGGAAAGATTGTTTGAATTTCTATCATTTTCTTCATCTTCTGGATTTAAATTATTTTTTCTAACAGTCTTGATTAGTTTCTTCAAGGGTATCATTGATTTTCTACACTGGCACATACAGTACATGAATTCCAGAAAATGGCTAAACTTTTGAGCCATTGAGTTAGCTGTAGAAACTATTAAAGATTATATATTAGAGTAATCTGCCATGATCAAATCATAGAAATAAGTTGGAAGGAATCTTGAAAGTCATCTTTACTTAAGGAATTTACTAAACCATCCCTAGTGGTCATCTAGCCTACTTGAAAACCTCCAGTGAGAACAAATCCATTGCTAATGTAAAAAAAGAAAAGAAACTTGTACCATCAGAGAATTCCTTCTAATATTCAGCTTTAATCTTGTCCTTTTAATTTTTATTCTTTAATTCTAAATTTAATTTTAAACTTTTTAATTTCAGATTCTTAGAGCTTTGAATATCTTCAATTTCAACAAGGAACCAGCCTCCTTTTATACATGAAAACTGTTTAGATATTTGTAAATTGCTATCATGCCTTCTAATATGCAGGTTAAACAGGCTCAGCTCTTTTAATCAGTTCTCAAAGGGATTGATTTATATGTCCCTTATTTAGCCTGGTAGCTCTCTTCTGAACCTGCTCTAGCTTTCCCATGTCACTTTTACTCTGGTAATTAGAACTAGATACAACTATGTTGTAACTGAGTACACTTTGGCGGTTATGTCCCATGAGCTGGATGTTGTGCTTCTGTTAATAAAGCACAAAATTGCATTGATCTTTTTAGCTGCTGCATTGTATAGTGTGTTTTCATGAATAACATTTCAAACTGTTAAAGCAGCCATATGTTTCTCCTGTGATCATGGAGACAGCAGCCAGACTGGGCTTCTCTGTTCAGTAACCAATTGTACTGAGTCTACATTTGTGATGTCATCGAGCCCTGGTAACTCCTCCCAGTTTAGACTCAGTCCAATCTAGGACTAGCTGTGAGAATTGATCTCTCCTTCTTGCTATTGCTCTAAATTGGTTTATTTTACTAGATTGGCATTTTTCAAAATTAAATTTTTTGTTTGGAATATTTTCTCCTTGTCTCATGCTCTGATTTGGGTGGGAGATTTAAAAATTAGCCTTCGGGTTTCACCTCAGCTGCCTATCTGTCTTGCAACCACGAGTTCACTCTGGGATGCATTCCAGCCTCAGTCAGCGCGGCGCTGACTCCTCAGCTCACAAGCTGCAGCTCTGGGGTTATCTTAACGAAAGTGCTGCATCCATCCCCTGACCATTTGGAAGTGACTGCTGTCTCAGAAGCCTCGCGACCAGCCCTTTCGCCCCCCGGCTGGCTTCGGAAGAAGCAGCCGCCATTTTATGAGTCTGTCAGCCATAAAAAGCATGCAAAGACCAGCGGTGGCCATCTTGCAGCTTGGAAAAGCCTGCAAAGAAGCAGTGTTCGCCATTTTGGGTGCCCAGCGTTGTGGAGGCAATCGCTGAGCCGAACAACGTCCCAGGCTGCAGCGGCACTCCTTCTGACTGTAACAGTGAGATCGTTGTCAATCCCTTCTCAGCTCGGGGTCTAGCTTTCTGGCAGGCATGGCTGAACACTTAATGGTGGGGGCTATTCCCAACAAGGAATTGGAGGCAGGGCCACCAGGGGTAAGGAGCAGCCGCAAAAGGACAACAAAGGAGGCTGCTAACACAGGGAAAGCTAATAAAGCTTCTAAAACCTCTCTCAGAGCTGAGGAAAGAAGACAAAAGGCCCTGGAAAAGGAGTTTCAGCGGGCCCAAAAACAGGTGAGCCAGAACATCCAGCCTCTCCTCCCCCTCCCATGGAGGATCAAGCTACCTCACCTAACCACCCACCCACTGAACTACCACCTATTGGGCCTTGTCCATCTTTAGATGAATCAGATGGGGAGTTGTTCTCCTCATTGTCTTCCATAGAGTCTGACACCAGGGGAATTTTTTTTGATGTCCCCCTCAATATGTCACTGAACAGGCTGGTCCCCTTCCAGTTCAGAACACTGGGGTGCCCCAAGCCTCAATCTCCTGTCCTACAGAGATGGCTGCCATAATTTCAGAAGCTATAAAACAAGGCATTGCTGCCAGGCTTCAGCAGCGCCCATCATCTAGGTCATCCCACGGTTACAGGCATAGGTCATCAAGGGGCACTTGGCAAACTACACCTTCTGCTTCAGTCAGTCAGGCTTCCATCTTTGGGGACCAAGATAGCCCCGGATTCGGATCTATCAGATGATGAGGGCATCATTCCAGATGCCTCTGCTTCAAAACTGATCGCTTTAAATCTCTTCTATTCAAAGCAATAAAAGTGGCTAACTTACCTTCTTCTTCCTCTGCTTCGTCTACTCAGACCCAGGCTGCTGAGTCAACTTCGAGTGACCGTCCTAATGCTCTTTTCTCTGAACCTACAGTATAGTGGAAAAGGAGGTCATCCCATCTCCAAAGATCTTTATGAATGTGGTTCAACAACAGTGGGCCTCCCCTGACACAGGTCCCCTGCCAACCACCTTGGACAAAAGCCTCTACAACATCGCTCCAGAACTCACCAAGTTTCTTGAGACACCTCCAGTAGGCGCGCTGGTTGCAGCCCTGTCTTCACCCGCAGTGGTCTCTGGAGCCCCAGAGAAAGTCCTCAAGCCTGAGGAGAAAAGTCAGATCAAACCTTAGTGAAGGGTTACCAGGCATGTGCCTGGGCAGTACGGGCCTCCACAGCCACTTCATTTTTCTCCAGGGCAGCAACTACTGATACTAGGTCACACAAAGATCTGAACAAAATTAAGGCGGCCATTGAATATTCAGCAGATGCTTGCTTAAACGCAGCCCATTTTGCATCAAAAGCCATGGCCAATTCGGTCATGGCCAGGCGCCTGCTTTGGCTTAAGCCTTGGCAGGCGGATGTTCAGTCCAAATGGCGCCTTGCAGCCTCCCCATTTAGTGGCACTCAGCTTTTCGGAGCTCCCTTGGATCTTTACCTCATGGAATCTAAGGATAAACACAAGGTCCTTTCCTCTATATATAAGAAGCAGGAGAACCATCCTTCTCCATTTTATAGAAGGTCCACAACGCCAGTCCTTCCCACCCAGACAGGGATCCAATCAGGACAGGTCTAATAGAAACACCCAGCGTTTCCCCCCCAAGAAGTCTTATCAAGGGTGGGAGGTAATCGCCAATTCCAAAAGTGAAAGTGATTAAATGCGCTCTCTCCCAATTGGGGGCTGCCTAGCGTTTTTCGCTGACCGCTGGGAGGAGACCATGACAGACAATTGGGTAATCAAAACAATCAAATTCAGCCTTCTTTTGGAGTTCCTCTCCACCCCTCAGAAGCACTTTGTGCCATGCCTGATCTCCCAATGCCCTCGCAAGAGGCTGCTGATGGAGCAAGCCATACAGCATCTCCTAGAGATTCGGGCCATCCAACTGGTCCCTCCGCATCAGAGGGGTCAGGATTTTTATTCCCACCTCTTTGTGGTACCAAAGGCTTCTGGGGGTTGGAGAGTGATCCTGGATCTAAAGTCATTGAACCACCACATTGTTTATCAGCGGTTCAAAATGCACTCCCTCCGCACCATCCTGGAGGGAGTCAGAAAGGGCGACTTCCTCACTTCGGTAGACTTGACTGAAACTTATCTTCACATTCCCATCTTCGCAGATCACCGAAGACATCTCCGGTTCTCCTATGGGGGGAGGCACTTCCAGTACCGGG